TGTTGTAGCGTACAAAAGCTTGGCGGGGAAGAGGGCGGGGGAGAGTGGCTGGGGCTCCCAGTCAGGGGCGGGGAGAGTGGCTGGGAGTTGCATCCACTCCCCCCGCCCTTGCCCGGCTTCTCTTCTCAACTAGGAGTGCCTGCCAGGGGCGCAGCCTGCTGGATTCCAGCTGTGGCCAGTGGCTGCCCCAGCCCCGCATGCAGCTCCCACAGCAACATCACTGGGCCCTGCCTCCGGCACGAGACACAGACCTGCCATTCGGGTCCCTGCAGTGGGAGCAGTGGGCTCGGCCAGGCTCGGGACCCGCCCTGCGCACAGATCTGGCAGCTGTGCCCAGAGCACCCGGGGTCCCAGAACGCGTCACTTTGCATGGTCAGAGACACGTGGCACGTGTGGGAGAGTGGGAGGGACATGCATCGGGTCCTCACCCTGGGCAGGCAGCTCCTGTGAGCCAACCACCCCACAGCTCCCCCCTCGGACACTCCACAATTGCCCCAGTCCCCTCTCACGTGCCTCCTCACAACCTCCCCTGAGCCCCCCACAATCTCCCACTTCACCCCAGGGTGCTTTGACAGACACTCCAATATCCTGCAAAGCCGAACACTGAAGTGTCCCTGGTATCTGGTTGCCAGAGGGTGGGAATGGGCCACAGGGGATGGATCACTTGGGGATTCCCCGATTAGGTCATTTCCTCTGGGGCACCCGCATTGGCCGCTGAGGGCAAACAGGACACCAGGCTAGAGGGGCCTGTGGTCTGACCCAGCCTGGCTGCTCCTGTGTGCATGAGACCCATAAAGTCATTAGTATTGGCAGCGCTACTGACACTGAGGCTGCGTTAGAAAGAGCCAGAGCAGCCTTAGTGCGAGTCAGAATCAGGCCCTTGAAACGTAGATTCCAGCTGGAACAAGTGTTTGGGCCTGTGAACTGAACGTCACTAGACTCGAAGGGTATGTCTACACTACAAAGTTAGTTCGAACTAACGTCCATTAGTTTGAACTAACTTTCATAGGCGCTACACTAGCGCTCCGTTAGTTCGAACTTAATTCGAACTAACGGAGCGCTTAGTTCGAACTAGGTAAACCTCATTTTACGAGGATTAAGCCTAGTTCGAACTAGCTAGTTCGAATTAAGGGCTGTGTAGACCCTTAATTCGAACTAGTGGGAGGCTAGCCCTCCCCAGGTTTCCCTGGTGGCCACTCTGGCCAACACCAGGTATGCCCCCCTCCCCGCCCCGGACCCCTTAAAGGGGCACAGGCTGGCTACAGTGCCCGTGCCAGGTGAAAGCCTGCCAGCACCCAGCAGCAGACCCTGCACCTGGCACGGATCGGGCCACCCACCCCACGCCCCCCAGC